TTCACTAGATCCAGAAATTGTTGCTGCTATTGAAATAATCCAGATGGTATGAATTACGGCAGAAAGCCTTTCTAAGTTGGCCCATTATTATCCAGATTTGAATATACATGGTATTAGAAGCAGTGTGACCTGAATGTTTGCTGGGGTATTTGAAACACTGGTTTCTGAGGAACACATATGAGTAAATAGGGGGTGGATTATTAACCTACTACATGTATTAAAATCAGAGCCTATTTATTTCAGCAAAATTAAAATATTTTAAAATTATAATAATACATACTTATAAAAATTCATAAGTCACTGAAGTTAATAAAATGTAAAGCAATCTTACTATTAACAGTATGGTTAGCAACCCTCCAGGGAAGGCATGAAGGGGCTGGGACTACAGAGGCAAACATGACTAACAAGGTCCCTGCCTTCAGGGGGCTTACATTCTAGTGGGAGGAGACAGGCCATAAGTAAGCAAACAAGTAGACAAACCAGACATGGGGAGGTTGCTTTACATATGGAAGTGGGATCTGAATGACGAAAAAGAATCCGAGTCTTGAAACCTTCTTGGAAGAGCCTTGCAGCAGAGTGAATGGCAGGTTCAAAGGACCAGAGGAGAAAAAAGGGGGCCACTACGGCTGGCACTTTGCATAACCAAAGTAAGAGTTCTAAGAGGGGTATAGGGGCCAGATCATGCATGCATGACTGGGTAGGAAGTTCAATTTCATGCTAAATACAATGAGAGGCCATGAAAGATTCTTAATTGAAGATGGGGGGTGGAGGGCAGCAGAGAGGATCTGATCTTCATTTTTGAAAAAAACGTAGGGGCAAGAATGGAAGACCGCAGACAGGTTGGAAGAGATTCATTCACACATACACACAAACATAGAGAGTTTAAAATACATGTATACTTTTCCTTCAACTTGTTATTAGGGTGTATTTTTAGAATTCCTCTTTGAAATTATGTTCACAGTCACTTTACTGTCTTAGGAAATCAAACACATCTTGTTTTTTGACCTTTCCCTATCCACCCAAATGCAGTAACTTAGTTGGAAAACACAGGTTTTGGCATTTGAACATGACTCCAGAATGTGTTCATCAGATTTGGCTCTGAATAACTTTTGGATCGTTCCAAAAATCAGATTTTTTCTCAAAGAGAGAATTCCTTTCAAAAATTCAGTGTCTCCTAATGTGATACTTGTGAGCAGCATCATTGGAACATGTATAGAGCCTGCCAAAGTGATTTATTTGGAATGAAAAACATCCATTTGAAGTTATATTCATTTATTCACAAATAATTATTGAGCACCAATCACTGAGTACCAGGCACTGTTTTAGGCACTGGGCATACATCAGTGAACAATCAGACAAAATCTCTGTCCCTGTTGGGCTTACATGCTAGTAAAGGGAAATGGACTAAACAAATAACAAATGAAAAAAAAAGTAAGCTCTGTACTATGGTTGAAGATTACATAAGAGCAAGGTAAGAGATATTTAGGAAGCTGGAGGGGGTTCCAGTTTTAAATAATGTTGTTAGGTTGGGCCTCACAAGAGGGTGACTTTGGTTAGATTTGAAAGGGGAGAGATAAGTAATATAGATTTTAAGAGGAAGAACATTCAAACAGAGGGAATAGTGCAAAGGTCCTGAGGCAGGAAAGTGCCTGGCAAGAACGAAGAACAGTGGCTAATGGAGAGAGTTGTAGGATATGAGGTCAGATAGGTAAGGAGACGGAGGGCAGGTCATAAGAAACGTGTAGCCACGGAAAGAAATTTGGCTTTAACACTGGCTGGGGGGAACCAAAACAGAAAGTCGTCATGATATGAATTATATTTTTAAAGAATTACTCTGACCACTGTGATATAGACTACAGAGGAGCAAGGTGGAAGTTTTGATGTGTTTTGGAAAACAGCAACACTTGATAGTCACATCCCCTTAATTTTTCTAGAAGGGGGGGAAAGTAGGCACAGTTAAGCATTAAAAAACATTCTAGATTGTGTCTTTCCCCTTTATTTCCTTTACCATAGCAAAGTTCTATTAAGTCCAATTCCTTTACCTCTGGGCCAAAAAGTGTCCTTAGACTATTTTCAGGCTGTAGCCAAACTCTTTATCTTGTCCTGTACATTAGTCAGGATTTTCTTGGCTGCAAGTAACCAAATACCTGACCCCAAATGGCTTAGGTGATAGGCCACTTGCTATCTCATATGTGAGCAGTCTGGAGGTTTGCAGAGCCAGGGTAGGTTAACTTAGCCACTTAGTGACTTCTAGGTTCTGGGTTACCTTTCCTGTATTTTTCTTGCTCATTGTTGCGGGATGTGCCACCACAGCTCCAAACATGTCTTGCTTACTGGAGGATGGCCAAGGCAAGAAGTAAAGAAAAGACTTCTTAGGGGCTCTCAGGGACAAAACCCTTCCCCTGAAGTCCCCTTCCCCCCACTTCCCATTATGTACTCACCAGAATTAGGTCACATGCTTAGCTCCTAAACCAGTCATTGATAAAGGGGGATGAAGTATCAAGACCCATCTAGACCAGTGGCTCTCAAAGTATTAATTGGAGAAGGGGGGGGGGCACGGGGATTTTAGGAGGTGATCCCCAAGACACTTTCAGGGAGTTTGCAAGGTCAAAACTATTGTTATAATACTAAAATGTTATTTGCCTTTTTTTTTTTCTCCCATTCTGAGTGTACAGTGGAGTTTTCCAAAGGCTACCTGAAATAGTGCAATAGATTAAATGCAGCAGATTTGAAGATCCAATTGCCTTCCATTAAGCCAGACACTAAAAGATATTTGCAAATTTTTAAAGTACTATGATTCTTTTTACTATGTTAGGGGGAAATATAGTTATTTTCCATAAAAATTTGCTATTTATGATAAGATGTAATTATTATTATTTTAAAATAAATATTTTTAAATTTCTCAGTTTTAATTTCTAGCATAGTAAATATCAATAGATATAACCCACATAAACAAAAGCTCTTTGGGGCCCTCAAAAATTTTTAGGAGTAGAGCAAAAGATTCTAAAGCACTAGTTTAATCAGACAGCTCTGATTCATCCTTGCGGCTGGGGGCGGAGCCGAACTTCCCGGAGCTCACCTCTGCCTGAGCCAAGCCTTCTTAAAATCCTGCAATGTAAGTGGTTAGGTCACAACAGGGAGTGCCAGACGCTGCGTATCGAATCAACCGATCTCAAAGCTTCTAGCTAATCGGAGAGTGAGCTCTCGCTTTTTGACTCTGAGGAGGTTAAAATGGTCAAAATGAACCTGAAGTGTTACTTCAAACTGTCACACTAAGTTGCTTCTTAAGATGGGAAGGGGTGTGGGATTTTGGGGGATGGACAGTTGAAATTTCAAAACCCCTCTCGGGAGCAGGTGTAACCCCCTTTACTCCCATCAGTTGTCTGGGTTAACGATTAAGGTAATTATTGGTAATAACTGGCTTTCCTTCCTACCAGGCTGCGCTAATAGCGTCCTTACAATGAGGGCCCTAACTGGCGATTCGGCTGTCACTCACTTATGCTTAACAGCATCAATCCAGGCCTCCTGATCGCTTAGGCCAAAGGCAAACAGGAGAATTACCTTGGTTTCTGAAGTTGTCGCCATGGCATGTTCATTTTCTCGCCTTGATCTTTCATTCAGGAATGGGGATATGTGTGTGTAAATTGGAAGTGGGCACTCCTCTCTCCCTTGTTCTTCAGTGTTAATATTTCTTGTCCTTCTCTCATACTATTTTGGTTTCAAAGTGCTCTCAGGAACCTCCTTAAAATACCAAACCTGTTTTTCCTTTCTTGAGTAAATTTCTTGGCTTCACTTAAAAAAAAATCTATCCAAGTACATCTTGTGTTTATAACTCAACTCATATGCCTGCGATTTCTCCATCTGATCTCTTTCCTTTCTCTGGCCTCTCATCTTCCCTGGAGAATTTTAGGCTGCCGTGGAACAGGGGAGGAGCCTGCATGACCCCGGCTACGGGTGTAGCAGGCATACATTTTCTTTGCGCATATTTTGATCAGTGAGTGTGGGACTTTTTTGCATAAACGTCTAGTTCACAAGTGCCTTTTCTTAGTCTTTCCGCTGTCTTCCGCCTAGGTCCATTTCTTGCCCTAATTTTACATGAACCTTCTCCTTGGCATTCTCGTCTCCCGGCGCTTGAACCTCCCTTCCCCTAGGCCTGACCTAATTCTGGGTGCCGGCTGTTGTTTGGTTTATTTCCCCACTTTTGCAAGCGCACGTGGCTTTTCTGGGCGCTTCACCTTTGATCCTAGGGTGGGTGCTGGGGTTCACTGGGGCTCGGAACACGTGCTTTAAAACAGACACGACTTCCCCACCCCGCCCCCAGCCCCACGAAGCTTTGGGCCCCGAGCTCCGCGGGAGTGAGGAGGGGGTGGGGAGCAGGGCCCGGCAGGGTGAATCACAGGGCGTAACAGGTGCCGCAGCTGCAGCTGCGCCAGCATCCCGCTTGGGCTCTAGGGATAAGGTTTTCTTTTTCTCCGGGTTTTTTTGGAGGTGGGGAGGAGACTCAGGGGCCCCCCACCGGACCAATGCAGGCCGCGGTTGTTCATCGCCTAGCAACTGGCGGAGCCAATGGGAGGAGGCTGGCCTGCGGCGCCGAAGACGCGGGGGCGGGGTGGGAACCTTGCAAACCTGCAGAGCCTGGGAGGCTGCAGCGAGGGGAGAGGCGGAGCCCGGCCGGAGGCGGGGAAGGCGGGAGCTGGAGGTGGAGGCGGGGCCGCCGGCCCGGGCGCTGCGTGCCGCGGCGCCTGTGCGGGCCCTCGGGGCTGCGCGAGCAGGTCTAGGACGCTGATCGGTGCGTCTCCGCCGCACCCGGGGGCCGTGACGGTGAGAGCCTCGCCCCGCGCTGGGGATTGTGACGCGCTCGCCCGGGGAGGGGCGCCGGCGCCGGCGGGGACTGGGGCCTGGGTCCTGGGGCAGGCGGGCGGGGGGTGGGCGCCGGCGGGGGGCGGGCGGGAGGGCGCGGAGGTGAGCACCGGCACCTGGCGCGGCGCCCCGCTTCTCTGCGGGAGGCTCGGCGCGGCCGTTGGGGCCGTTGGAGGAGGAAGGCGAGCGGTGACCCCCGGCCGCGCCTGGAGGAGGAGGTGGGAGGTAGGTGCCAGCTCGGGGACAGCTCCCGCTGGCGGTTGCAGCGCTAAGCCCCAAATCCTATCGGGGATGGAGAGAGGGTGGCGCTTGGCGTGGGATGACGAGCGACGCGGGGACGTGGGGGAGGAGGGGATGGCCAGTTTGGGGCTGAGGTGTCCGCTTAGCAGAGGCTGCGGGACTCGCGGGCTTGGGGGATTGTTAGCTCGAGCCGCAGGGGACAACCGTTAGAATGAGTTTCTGGTGGCCCGTGGCCACTGCAGAGGAAGAGAACCCCGCCAGCGGTCTAGTTAAAAGACCTGGGGAAGAATTTACATCATCTACAGGCAGGCATGTGTGAGAATATATTGGTGTAGAATTTTGTGGTAAAGTACAGTAAACTGAATTGTGAGCTCCCCGCTCTCTTTCGAGCCTATGCTGATCGCCCAGTTATGCAAGTCACTTGGGCCCAGGAAATGGAATCTGCTAAATAATTTGTTCTCAGCACGTTTATATAATGTGGGGATCTTTAAGTTATTACCCCATTTCAAGGTCCGTAGTTGTGATTGCCAAGTTACCATTACTTGCAACGGGGATAATAGTTTTTGTTGAATCTGAGACTATTGACATATCCCTTTTCTGGACCCCATAATGGGGTGACGATTAGAAGAGGCACTCCTCCCAAGGGTGGTTCGGTGTAAGAGGGGCTGCCTGGAATTCGAAATTGCTGGGCTCCCCTAACAGTTCAGATTAGAGTCTAGATCTAGAGTTGGCTGTGATTGATGGGAGCCTTGGAATCCTTCATGACTCAGGAGGGATTGGTTTACTGTTTAAGTAGGAGAAAATTCTGGTAGCCTTGATCCTGAACTGAAAAGGTAGGTATGACTTGACACATTTAGGGGACTGAGCAAAATTTGAAAAAATTAGAGATCTGGACAGAAAAAAAAAATGCCTTTAAAGTTTAGGTCAAGCTATCTCGAAATTTAGGAGTTTGAGGTAGATTTATGAATTTGGATTCAGTCAGCAAAACTTAATCCATCAAATCTCCTGTCCTAGAGCTATCATAACCTACAGGTCTAGGGAGCTTTGGTTATTCATTCAAATTAAACAAGTAAAAGCTAGTAACTAGTTTGATGCTCTCTTCTGCCTGCTGTCAGTGAAAGTTTCTCAAACAAAATGGTTCTGTGAAGAGAGGATGAGGAACTGATAGTTAAAATGAAGGCTCTTTTGGTGGCTTGCTGGACCCCTTCAGCCAAGTCATTTTATATCCTTCCTTCCCCCATCTGTACAATGAAGATAATAAAGGCCCAGGATTAAGTAACATGGGTGAAGCAGCTTGAAGATAACTGTGAAGAGTTAGTTATTCTAGGATGAAATGTGAAGATCTCCTCCTAACACATTGCGCCTTGTGACAGGACTTGTTAAAGCACATTGCGTTCCAGACGTGCTGAGGCAGTGTATGAGAAAAAGAAAATGTTAACAGTTCAGATGATTTGCCTAAGGCCTCAAGGCTAACACATTATATTCTTGGGCTGTCTGGAAACCTGACATAGCTTCTCTTTGACCAAGCTAGCTGTGACTCAGGTTTTATAAAGGTAAATATTTGAGTGCCTTCAATGTGGTATGCACCTAGAGATAAAAAGATGAAAAAGATGCTGCCCCAGAATTGTGTCATTTTAATTCATTTCACACACTTAAATTGGAGCACTTCCAAAGCCTTTTAAGTGATGTTTTTTCATATCTTTTACCAATAGTTGTAAACATGCCTTATTGGTTTGACTGGGTCATAAAGAGGTTTTGGTAGTCCTTGGGTCTCTTTTGTATGTTTGGTGATGGTGCTCATGATTAGCTGGTGATGAAGGTACAAGTTATCTTGAATTCACGAGTTTTGGGGATGAGACAGAATAGAAAAGTGCACCATTCATTATCAGTAGTGGAAAGCTACCTAAAGTCTTTACTTTTGATAATTGATCAGTATTATGATCAGTATTATATAGTTCCTGCAGATTTACTGAATTATGCTTCAATGATTTACTCTTTTAATAAACATTTATTAAACACTTACTTGCCAGATCTGAGGATGAAAAATATCAGTGTTGCCTTGTGGAGTTTGTTTTTAGGAAATGTACAGTATAGTAAGGGAGAGAGCGAAAATGAAAATTGCGAATATGAGAAGGCTTTAAAAAAGAATTTCAGGACATCCCTGGTGGCGCAGTGGTTAAGAATCCGCATGCCAATGCAGGGGACACGGGTTTGAGCCCTGGTCCGGGAGGATCCCACATGCCGTGGAGCAACTAAGCCCGTGCGCCACAACTACTGAGCCCTTGTGCCACAGCTAGTGAAGCCCGTGCGCCTAGAGTCCGTGCTCCACAACAAGAGAAGCCACCGCAATGAGAAGCCCGCACACCGCAACAAAGAGTAGCCCCTGCTAACCGCACCTAGAGAAAACCCGCGTGCAGCAATGAAGACCCGACACAGCCAAAATAAATTTATTTTTTTTTAAAGTAATGATGATTAAAAAAAAGAATTTCAGTTGTCTTGTTGGAGGAGGAGACGTTCACCCGATGAACATGTATGTTGCAATGGACCATTGAAGAAGTATAGGTGGTTTGGTAGTTGGGACCAGGTAGAGTGGGTTAAGGTTAAGGTTGGAGAGCAGGGCTATGACCTTTGACTAGTAGGTGATAGGGAATCTTTAAAAGGTTTTATCCAGGGGAATTATATTTGATTTTTACTTCAGAAGGGTATTTCTACCAAAATCAGTAAATTGCGTGGTCCATAGACGATCCAAGTAATATCTGAGGCAGAACAGTCCTACACAGCGATTAAAAACTTTAATAATATGTTATTGAAGCCCCCAGAAACTTCAGAAAAGTAAAAATGATTATTCATACAACCAACCTTTACTGAGAATCTTTCTTTTTATAATTGTGGTATAATTGACATGTAACGGTGTATTAGTTTCAGGTGTACAACATAATTTGATATTTGTGTATACTGCGAAATGGTTACTGCAGTTAAGTCTAGTATCTTCTACTTTTAAGATTGAGGGAATAGAGATACAAAGACAAATAAGACACACTCCCATTTTCAAGTAACTTGCAGTTCAGTAGGAGAAATGACACAGTTGTAATGCAGTGCTGAATCTGAGTGTCATAAGAGACATAAAAATGTCAAGTCTTAGCAATGTATGATTCTGAGATGAGAGAAGACACAAATTCTTTCAAATTGAAAATAAGTTCTTGAATAGATATTAAACTTTGGCCGGTTAAACAGTCAGTACAGTCTTAACTATAACATTTACAGTTCTCATCTATTAACTCTCACTTCACACATTGCCCACCCTCCCTCTTACTCTTTTGTGTGAAATTTTGGGCTTGACTACCATACTGCTAGCTATGAGACCTCAGCAAGTACCGTATCTTCTCTGTGCCTTAGTTGTCTCATTTGTAAATTAGGAATAGTAATACCTACTTCATAGGTTTGCAAGGATTGAATAAGAAAACATGTTAATATCCAGAATGGTGCATGGAAAAACACTTTACATCTTTTGAGCACTTAATATTTCTATTTGACATAAAAATGCTGTAATTGAATAAGAACTAACTTAAAGACAGGATTTTTTTTTTTTAAGAGTCACACATGGATCTATCCCTGAGTATCAGGCAAAGCCTCTACATTCAGAAAAGCTAAATATATTCTGTTAAACTCTGCTTCTCGAACAAGTGACCTTTGTTTATTATCTCCTTTTCTTATTTGCTGATCACTTTTCTGAAATCCGATTTCCATTTTTACCCCTCAGCTTTGTCATACAGTCACTAATTACCAAATCCAATGTAATGTTCTATTTAGCTCTTGCCCTTTTTATGGCATTTGTTGCTGTTCATCACTTCCTCCTCTTTAAAACTATTTTCCTTGGCTTTCCTAAAACTCCCCCCACCCCTGGATTTTTATCTCCTACATGTAGGTCACCTGCACTCACCTGTTACATGTTGATGTTCTTTAGGGTTCTTTCTGCTGCCCCTCTTTTTCTGTATAGATTCAGCTATCACATGTATGCTGATGACTCCTAAATCTGCCCTGATGTCTTGATCTCCAGGCCCTAGAGTTTACCTCCATTTGAATGTCTCATAAGGGCATATATAAGCCCAGTGAGTTCTACATGGAGCTCTATATCTCCACTCACTTAACCAAACCCACTGGTAACCTCAGTCCTCTGTTCTCTTTACCTGTGTGACACTGTTATCTGTCTAGTACCAAAGACAGATTTTTACATGAGAGAATAAATGCCTCCCTTCTGTATACTTGTCACCATGTTTGTCGGCCCAACTTCTGAAGTATTTCATATCCATCCTTCATTGTCCTCATTGTCACTGGCTAAGTTAGCCAGCCAACCCCTGACCATTAATTGCCCTGTGCCATAATATTTTTGGGCCAGACCTGCTGAAAATGGGACCTATTTTGGAAACATAATGTGGGAGGAGGTTTCTAGAATAATATTGTTCTAAAAGAATTGAGTTTAATGAGTGGCTAGTAGATATTTGTAACCCGCCATTGCATATACACTCGGCCCTCCACATCCACAGATTCAACCAACCGTGGATTGAATTCAGTCATTTGAATTGAACCCAGATTGGTTGAACCCTTGGCTGTGAAACCTGTGGATAAGGAGGGCTGACTGTATTCATTGTACTGTACTGTCATTTTATATAAGAGACTTGAGCCGCCTCAGATGTTGGTATTCACGGGGGCTCCTGAAACCAATCCGTTTTGGAAACTGAGGGATGACTGTACTTTTTACCTGAGAGTTCGTATTGTTTAGGTTATAAAGTAGTTTAGGTTATAGAGGACACAGTCTTGAGTTTGTCAGTCTTTTGCCAGTTGATTTTAGTCTGGTTGTTTGTGCTTCCTATCTAAAAGATGGTACCTTCAGCATGATTCTTTCTACAGGTGCCCTCAGAGAAATAGTGGGCTTGGTTCCAGACCACTACAGTTTTGTGAATATTGCAATAAAGTGAGTCACATGA